ACAGGTCCTTTCATCAGCTTGCCCATAAAACAAAGGAAAGGGTCCTAGGATTAAATGCCTTCCCCCATCCAGGCAGTAGGAAGATATTAAGGAATTTTGCTGAGTTTGCTTTCTTTAACAATCCATAGAGTGGGCTTGCATAGGGAATACACAGTTATTAAAGACTCTCTCCCTTAAGAATTATGGGGGGCTAGTGGTGTGATTCAGGAGAATTAGGGTTCAGGCTGAGCCATCCATGGGAAAAACTGATGTCCTATTCAACACTATTGAATGGCTCCAAATCATCCACATGTACTAACACTAATGACCTCTCTTCCTGTGGCAGGCAGATCTGCTTCCCCACTCCTCCTTTCTGAGCAAGGTTAGAAGCAAGCCAGTTGAACTGGTTTCTCCTAAAGAGGAGGATCCCTTGATCCACTTCTGTCCTCTGTTCCTTTGCATGGGCAGTGCCCCATGCCTAGAATACCCTTGCTTCTCACTTCCAGCTGGCTTCTTTCAAAACCCAGTTCAAGTGCCACTTCCTCAGGAAACCTCATCGGATTCCCTCTACCCCACTGTGGCTCACACTTTCGTAGGATGAATAGACTTAAAGATGCAAGAAACCTGAGAAGCCGCATGGTCCAAACCCCTCATTTTACAGAAAAGAATAAACCAAGACTAGAGAGAATAAAGAACTTGCCCATGGGCACACAGGACACCAACCCAGGTCCCTTTCCATGGAACACAATGTCTCACCGTTTTGTTAATACTGACCTATGTCCCTGTTATTTTCTTCCAGGAGAATGTTAAGTACCTTAAGGGCAGGTGCCATATTTGTTTTTTGTCTCTATCTTCAGTGCTTAGTCAAATAGTAGGTGCTCAATAAATGCTTGTTGACTTGAATTTCAAATTCATGTTTAAGCCAACCTGGAGACAGGGAGCAGGTTCCTTGAGGATAGGGCCAACTTTTTTTTTCTTTACATCACCACTTCTTAGCATAGCACCTAGCATACAGTAGGCACTTAATACTCATTGACTTCCAGTTACTCCAAACTGCCATTTCCTCCTCCTGTGCCTTGGTGCAAGGGATCTCTCATGGATCCCCTAATGTTCCCATTCCCCTCTGCCTCTCAGAATTCCAATTTCCATTCATGGGCCACCCCTGACAGGAAGCCTTTCCCGACTCCCCAGTTGTTGGGGACTGTGCCCTCAAATGCTCCAGAATTGATGGTTTAACTGGATGTACCAGAAAAATAAGAGTGTAAACTCCTCCAGGGCCAAGTTTGTCTTTTGTCTGCCCAAGGGAAGGCACTAGAATCAAGAGGAGTTGGTCAACTTCAGAGGTTCTGCCACATTTTTTTTTGTCACAGTACCTAACACATAAACAGTGTCTTACACATTCAGGCCTGCTTTAAGATGCTTATTAAATGGAATCAAATTGAATCGTCCCAGTTCTAAATTCCCTTTCTTCTCCGTGACCTTAAATAGCATTTTGTAGCCCTTTTGTGCACTTATCATATTCTGTTATTCCAAACTGCTGTTATTACAATATTCTGGAACTGAGAAGTTTTGAAGAATATTAATAGCTTATATTTATAAGGCATCTTATGGTTTTCAAAAGCTTTAAAGCATTTTCAAATGAGATAATAATTGTAAAGTATTTAACATAGTTCTTGGTATATAGTAAGTACCATGTAAATGGTTGTTGTAGCCTCATTTCAGTATCAGAAACCTAGGTGGCAGAGTGAATGGAGTATTGGGCCTAGAGTCGGCAAGAACTGAGCTCAAATTTGGCCTCAGCCACTTAGTAGCTGTGTGACCCTGGGCAAGTCACTTACTTTAGTTTCCTCATCTGTAAAATGAGATTAATAATAGCACCTGCCTGCAGGATTATTGTAAGGATCAAATAAGGTAATAATTGTAAAGTATGTAGTACTGTGCGTGGTACATGTTAGGCTATGTAAATGTTAACTATTATTACTATATTATACTATATGCTATATATTATATATTAGCTGCCACTACTATATAAATGTTAGCTATTAGCTATAATTGTGAGCTCCTTAAGGAAAGGAACTGTCTTTTGCCTCTTTTTGTATCCCCAGTCAGGCATATAGTAGGCACTTAATAAATGTTTGATTGGTTGATTATTAAAAAGTTATTGTCTTCTAGAGAGTGTACTTCTTGACCACCTTTGCTTCTCTCTTTTCCCAGATACCCCAGCCTCAACAAATAACTCACAGCCATCACACCCCTACTCCTCCCCCACCACACAAACTCGAGGTAATCTACTGGTCTTGGAGAATTGCCTGGGGCACTGAGAGGTTGGGACACTTGCCCAAGACCACTCAGCATGCTTGTGTAACCAGGATCACCAGTCTAGAGCTGGGACCTCCCACATCTAGTCCAATCCCCTCTTTTTACAATTAAGGAAACTGAGGTCTACAGAGTTTAAGTGACTTGCAGAGGTCAAACAATAAACATTCAGAGGTGGAATTTGAACTGAAATGGGCTGGAGGCTTCTCTAGCATATTTTGAAAGTCTAAAGAGGAGGGATGGCCCTGTCAAACCAAGCTTTGGAATGTTGTCCTTGGAAAACTCAGAAGGAGACGCAGCCAGCTGGAGCAGTGGATAGAGCACCAGCCCTGAAGTCAGGAGGACCTGAGTTCAGATCTGATCTCAGACCAAACGCTCCACATTTACTAGCTGTGTGACCTTGAGCAAGTCACTTAATCCCAATTGCCTAAAAAAAAGCGCCAAAAACAGAAACTCCCACTCCACCCGAAAATTTGGAAGGAAAACAGCTTCACAAGACTTTCAAAATAAAATGCTAAAAATTTCAAAGATAATGCTCCCTCTCCTTTTCCTACTGAAGAAAAAGAAGCATTAAATAGACTCCATGCAAGTTTTGGGGCATGTTTTGCTTTTTTAAAAATATGCTGTGGGTCTGATTCTGAATTTTGAGGAACTTCAGACTCCCAGAATTGCTCATCCCCTGTCTACTGAACTACCTCCTGGAACCCAAGGCTTCCTGATTTTCAGTCAGTCAGTAAATAAGCAATTATTAAGCCAGGCACTGTGCTAAAAATGAGAAATTTGTAAAGATTGTTGCAAACCTTCAAGTGCTGAAGTGTATGTGTGTGGGTGTTTATATATATGAAAATACCCACACACATACACAAACCCACACACATATACACATATATATATGAAATAATCTATTTCCCTGATCAACATTTGTAACCAGTTGGTCCTTCCAGCTGGCCAAACTTCTGACCCCTCTGATTTTTCCTCCCATCCTACACCTTCAATGTTATCTGGCGATTGTTAATAGGTAAGGCTGGGCACTGCAAAGCTCCCCCACCCCCGTTGCCCCCTGTCCCCGATACCTTTAGTGTTATCCGGTGACTGTGAGTGGGTGACCTTGGGTGCTGCACCCCATCCCCTCTCATTGCTCCCCGTTGCTCACAATGTTATCTGGTGACTGTGAAGTGGGTGACCTTGGGTGTTGCACCCCGTCCCCTCTGGTTACTCCCCCATTGCCTGTTATCTGGTGACTGTGAGTGGGTGACAGTGGGTGCTGCACCCTGTCCCCTCTCATTACTCCCTGTCCCCTACACCTTTAGTGTTATTTGGTGACTGCAAGTGAGTGACCCTGGGCACTGCACCCCTGTCCCCTCGTTGCTCCCCGTTGCCTATGTTATCTGGTGACTGTGAGTGGGTGACCCTGGGCGCTGCACCCCGTCCCCTCTCATTGCTCCCCGCTGCCCATAATGTTATCTGGTGACTATTAGAGGGTGACGCCGGACGCTGCACATGACTCAGGACCTCAGAGCTGGAAGGTGACCTCATAGGTCATCCAGTCCACACAATGCGAGAGTTGGACTAGACGGTCTCTAAGGTCCCTCGTGGCTCACGATATCCCGAGTTTACGCGAACCCGGGCTCCTCTCGGGTCTTGAAGCCCCGGGGTCCAGACCCTGTCCCCCAAATAAAAGTACTGACAGCACGCTCTCTCGTGCCGGCGTCGCGCGGAAAGCCGCCCTCCTGCAGGCTTCGTCCACTCCGGCGTACGCATGTCTGTCCACGTCTGCTTTCGCGGAGGTGCCCGAGGGTCGAGCTCCTTGAGGCCGGACGCGGCGGCGCAGGGATGCCCGCAGAGGCAGAGGCAGAGGCTGAGGCACGCCAACGAGCATTGGCGTCCTCCCCGCCCTCCCGCTCCGCCTCCTCCCTGGCCGCACGTCGGCCCCGCCCACTTCTGGTCTCCCGCGAGCTCCACGCGAAGCCCTCTCCCAGCGCCGCAGGAAGCCGGCCGGGGCGGGGGGCGGGGCGGTGACGTCACGACGCCGGCGCGTCACGGGGCAGCGGCGGCGGCGGCCAGAGTAGCAGCGGCGGCGGCGGTGTCAGCGGCAGCAGCGGCAGGAGCGGCGGCCGGGGCAGCATCGTCCTCTTCTCCTCCTCCTCGTCGTCGTCCTTCTGCTTCCCTCCTCGCGGTCAGCGGCGGCGGCGGCGGCGGGGCGGCCACGGCGGCGCTGCCGCTCCTCCTCCCAGCATCCCTGGCGCGGCCGTTCCGGCCCCATCTTGGCCGAGGGGAGGGAGCTGCCGCCGCCAGAGCAGCAGCCGCAGCAGTTTGAATTTGAGTTCCGGCCGAGCGCCGCGCCGCGCAGCGCAGCCCAGCCCGAGGAGCCCCGAGCCCCGGGCCCCGAGCGGCCGCCGCCCGGCCCGCGCCCCGGAGCTTCAGCCAGCCGGGGCCTCCACCCGGGCAGCAGCCGCAGGCCTGCGGGCCGGCATGGCCCTGCGGGGCTCAAGCTAGAGCCGCGAGCGGCCTGACGAGAGGCGAGCCCGGCGCCGCCCCGCCCTCCGCCCGCGCCCCGGGGCCTGCAGACCGGCCCGGAGCCTCGGCGGCGCCTCGGAGCGGGGGGGGGGTGAGCGAGCACCCCCCGGGAGCGCTCGATCGGCCCCGGGGGGACGGCGCGGCGCGGCGGGGAGGAGCGGGAGGGGATGTGTCCGACCCCCGGCCGGGCCCGGCTCTGCCCCTGACGCTCCCGGCTCGGGTTTCACACCCTCCCCCAGACTCGGGCCCTCGGTGTTGGCGGGATCCGGGTCCGCCTCGGAGCCCCCACCATGTCCAAGATGCCGGCCAAGAAGAAAAGCTGCTTCCAGATCACCAGTGTGACCACGGCGCAGGTGGCGAGCAGCATCACCGAGGACACGGAGAGCCTGGACGACCCGGACGAGTCCCACACCGAGGACGTGTCGTCCGAGATCTTCGACGTCTCCCGGGCCACGGATTACGGCCCGGAGGAGGTGTGCGAGCGCAGCTCTTCCGAAGAGACCCTCAACAACGTGGGCGACGCCGAGACCCCCGGCACCGTCTCGCCCAACCTCCTCCTGGACGGGCAGTTGGCCGCGGCGGCGGCGGCGGCGGCCAACGGGGGCGGAGCTGTTAACCCCCGGAACGCGGCCGTCCCCCCGGGGCCTGCGGCCGCCGCCCCCCAGGTGTCCGCCTCGGCCGTGGGGCTGGTCAGCGGGGCCGCGGCGCAGGCAACCGCCGCCTGTAGTTCCCGCTTTCGGGTCATCAAGCTGGACCACGGTTCCGGGGAGCCCTATAGACGCGGGCGATGGACGTGTATGGAGTACTATGACCGGGACTCGGACAGCGCCGTGCTCAGCAGGACCGGGGACTGCATTAGGCACAGCACCACCTTCGAGCCCAGTGCCGAGAGGGACAGCGGCCTGGGCGCCACCGGGGGCTCCGTGGTGGTGGTGTCGGCCGCGCAGGTCACGCAGGGCTCCGACCCTGGCGGCGACGGTTCCCTGACCGCCGTGTCCCAGGCGCTGCAGACGGAGAAGGCGCCCCCCCCGCCCGCTCCCCAGCCCCAGTCCCAGCAGTTCGTGGTCGGGCAGCAGCAGCAGCCGCAGCCGCCCGTAGGTGGGGCTGTGCCCCCGAGCCCGGCCCAGCCGCTCTACTCCAGCCCGGCCGCGGGGCCCCCGCAGCAGAGCGCATCCCCCGGGACGGCGCCCACCGTCGTCTCGGTGGGACACAATGGGAAAGGCCCGCAGCAGGTGCAGCCCACCGGGGCGCCGGGGACCCCGCCCCAGCCGTTTGCTGCTTATCCCCAGCCTCCCATGGCTGCTGGGCATCTGCTGCCAGCCCAGCCTTCTGGCCAGACCGACTACGTGCAGCACATGGCAGCGATTCAGTCCCAAGGAACTGTTCAGCAAGCTAGCACGGCCTCTGTTAGCAGCGCTGGGACGTCTAGTCTTCCTGTGGGTCAGGGCAGCGGCCAGAATGCCCCCTCCGTGGGAGCACATTTGGTGGGAGGACCCTCCCAGTCTGGAGAAGCCGGTGGCCCGGCCATGTGCAGTCAGGCTGCCATCCCGCAGCCCGGGGCTGGGGTGCCCCCCAAATCTGTGACTCAGCTTCCAATGGGCGGCAGCAGCCAAGGGGCAGCAGTGCCTAGTGGCCCGCTCTCCATGGTCCCCGGAGGTGCGAGCGTGCCCGCGGCCGTGCCAGGCCCCAGTGTGCCTAGTGTGTCTACTACTTCTGTTACTATGCCAAATGTCCCTGTTACTCTAGTCCAGTCCCAGCTGAGCGGCAGCCACACTTCAGGCAGCAGAAGTTCCAGCGGACTTCCCTTGATGCCAGGCACATCCAGTGTTCCAGCCAGTCTGCCGCAGGCCAATCTAAGCCAGTTTCAGACTCAGACACAGCCTCTAGCCGGACACGTTGATGAGACTAGAAGAAAATCAGAACCCCTACCTCAACCACCGCTTTCTCTCATTGCTGAAAATAAACCTCTTGTGAAGCCTCCCATTCAGGATGCCCTCGCAAATCCCCTTTTGCCCGCAACGACTCCTATGAACAGTCTGGCCAGCTCTGTCTTCGGTATTTCCATTCCTGTCGATGGCGATGAAGATAGGTATGGAAATTTTCATTTTAAACATTTATAATGTTAGTACAACATCAATTACTTTTATTTTGGAGTTTCTGATCTCTTTTTTAAAAAAATCTTCTGGGGCACTGAACAGAAGGTCATTTAAATATATCTGCTATGTATTCAGAATGGGTTTACAAAGACCCGAAGAGAGGTGTTCATTTTAGATCATTTAAAAGCTCTACCTAAAACTGCAGCAAATGACTTGATCAAGCCACAGCTCTCAAAGGCTGTATATCAAGAGCAAAAGTTTTAGGCTAGCCATCACAATTACGTTTGATAGCACAGTTGGAAATAGTTTTTTCCATAGTAGTTCTTTCTAATGTGTCCTACTTGTCAACTTATGGGAGAACATGAGCTTCCATAATGTCAGTTTCGAGTTTTGTTTTTTTTTTTTAATCATTTAGAGAGGAAAAGTTATAGGTGGCTGGAATAGACACCTAGCAGGAAAAAAAAATTGCAATTATTAGGCGGTTTCTGCAGGGTGTTTTGTCCAGGGAGCAGGGCTGATGGGGTCAGATAGAACTTCAAGAACTCATTCCTTAGAAATTCTGGAAGGAAAAAAAAGCTTCACCTGACTTTTTAAATGAAATTTTACAATTTTAAAAGAGAAAGATGCTCGAAAGAAGCTCCCTCTTCCCTCTGTCTTTCTGCTGTGGGGGGAAAAGGCATAAAATAGGTGCTTGAGGTTTTGGGGGTTTTCTTTTTTTTAAAGCTGTGTGCCTGATTCTGAATTTAGAGGAACTTAAGTGCTAAATTGTAAATAAAGGTTGTTAGCTTCCCCTTCCCCTTTGCCCTTTTTAAGGGAAGCTCTTAAAAGCGGTTAACTAAAAATTAGTGAATACCATCACATTGTTTAATGGCTGCCATTTGGTTGAATATTAAACAATTTTAGTAGGTTTAGAGGGAATTCAAAATGAAAATTGGATATATTAACTTTCTGTACAAATTACTTTTTTAAAATTTGGATTACGGTTACAAAAATATGCTGTCAATTAACATAGAAAATTGCAGGTAAATTAGCGGATCAGAAAGGACATTAAAGCACTCTTTGATTTTTAAGAGGTTAATTTTTTATGTGTTGTCAGACACTTGAATCATTTCCAAAGGATTTCTCTAGGATATTATGGTGTGTAGAGGAGCACTATTTTGCACTTTATTTTTTAAGCTTTCTCTCCCTGTGTTTCCTCTTAGCCCTTTCCCATCCATCCTTCTCTTCACTTCTCTCTATATAATTAGTATGTCTTCAATTTCCTGTTAACACAGCACATACATTAAGTATGAACATTTTTCTGAAATCCATTCATTTCTAAGGTCAACTATGTATTCCAAATATTTTTTGAAAATGACTTGTAGTAGCTGTTAAAAATTCTCAATTTCAGAGTTAGGGACTATTATTACCTGCCCATAAGTTAGCTATGTTGTTCAGTATATTTATCTATGAAGTCTGAATATAAAGTAGTGGGACTGATTCATAAAGCCACAGAAACATCAGTAACATTACTTTTTATAGTCACACAGATCTGAAATGCATGTTTGAGTGCTCAGTTTCCTAGTAACAATTGATACCGTATGATAGGCATCGTTCCTTTTGGGTTGCCACCTACCAGTCATTCCTTTGTGAGAGATGCATGATCATTTTGGCACCTGCCTGCTTCTGCTTCCATCCCACTGATCAGCTCAAGAGGAGACAGGTGGATTAGTCACTTTTTTTTAGTATATAACTCAAAAAAAAGTTCTCATTTTGTTCTTCCCCACTCCCCCTTTGATTTACTAGGCTTTATAATGATACACTAGAATTTAGTTTTGCGAATGATTGTGAGGCAGTAAGCAAAGGAACACATGACTGAGCCAACTCTAGAATTTATTCATTAGTATAGTATATGGCCTGAGTCTTTTTCTCTCACCTATCCCTCCCTCCCTCCTCTTAAAATATCTTTTATCAGGTATTTTTAAAAAATCTCATCAAGCATAAAAATAAATTGAATACTTAATAAAACTTTGAAGTGTTGCAAAAATAATTTCTTTAGGTGTATCTGGATTGTACTTCATGTTAGGCCAGGTGCTATATAAGTGCCAGTCACTATCATTTAAACCAGTATAGGGGTTTCAAATTTATGTATAGGAGGGCCCAGTAATTTTGATACCTGTGTATTTAAAATACATAGTTGACACTTTTCTCAGTTTTTTTTCCACTAATAAGATTTTCACTTAGCATTACTTGGAACAGTTACAAATTATGTGCATTCCAAATTTCAGGCCATTAGTTTTAGTCTCTGAGTTTTAAATTCACTGTAGTAGTGAAAAGAAATTACTTTGTAATCTAACACATTTGAATATTTTATTATTGTACCAACACATTTACCCTGGTGAAGGAATAAATCCATTAAGTAGGTTCAGTACTGACTCTTCCCCCTCCCTCAATGTAGAGGACTGAGGGGTGGTTTATAAAATAGAAAGTAGGATTGTTTTCAAGTTCAATTTTTGGCATAATGTTTTTGAGAAAAAATTTTATGACTTACATATGTGGGATTTATAATTTTAAAATTACAAGTAATTTAATTTGTAATTCATATAAAAAATGGAATAAATATAGGGAAAGGTGAATAATTATGGCTACACTTACAGTATGTAGGTATAGCATCTTAATTTTTTGTGGCTTCTGTAACATTTAAGCTACCTAAAATCTTGAGGACATATGGGAAACATTTGTTTGATAATAGTAAGATTTTAAGGGAGGAGAACTAGATAAAGTGATTTGGGGCTGATACCTTTGCCTAAAACAAACTTCATATGAAGTTCTACTACAAAATATTTGCATTAAACAAGTTTTACTATATTTTCTTATTGTTGTGGGGTACTCCTGGTGTGGAAACTGCTCCCCTGTTGCAATTTGATAACTGTCCTACAATTTATATGGTCTTGGAGAGTTGACTGTGGGCACTGAGAGGTTAGGTGATTTGCCACTGGTCACGTAGCTCATAGGTTGTCCTGAGTCCAAGGTCTGACCTTTTTTATTCACTATTATTCACATTGCTTCAGAGAAAGTTGAGTGACTGAGCTATTGACACCCAATTACAAGATAATAAAATGGTTGTATACTAGTATATCCTAGGAGGTCTTTTATAGTTCATCAAATTTAGCATCATTTGCTAACTGTGAAGTAGATACAGTAAATATACTGCGATATAAGTGGTTCTGGTAGTTTTAGTAAGATGTGCAAGAATTAAGTTATGATCTGTCTAAAATTTAAGGAGTGTTTTGGTAAAAATTTGAAATGTAGAATGCTATATAATGGGTGGCTTGAAATAGGTCTTATAAAAATTTATGAAGAGTGTTGGGTGGATATTGCTAGCAAAGTTTGCTTAAACTTGATGTTTGAGTCTTTTTTTTTTTTTTTGTAAATGGGGTTGGGGAGGTGCAAAATCTTAAACTGACCTATTGGAAAAGGAGCAGAGTACACATCTTTTTCCAGAGATAGCTGACCAATATGAATTCTTCAAGCTACATTCCAGGAACTTTAATGAATGGCTGCAATTGTGAACTGTCAACTGCAGCAGAAGGCTGTTGAAAACCTGATTGTAAGGAAACCTTTATGGCACGTATCCCTAAATTCTGTTAAATGATTTTATTTATAGAGAGCTAATAACCACTGACCAGGTATTATGAATTGTAAGACTGAGGGGTTAGAGCATGGCAAATATTGGAAGAACTTAAATTGTGCTTAGAGATGTTAATATTTTGATTTAGGTCTCCATTGCTTCTGCTATATTCTCTTCCTTTTATTGAAGTGTAAAATCAAAAAAGATTCTGCAAAGTCGAATTAAGATTGTATAGTTATTCTTTTGAAGCCTACAGGAATCTCTATAGCTGAAGTGAACAGAAATCTTAGTGGATTTACTAATTTGAAAGGAGAAAGAGAAACTGCATGTTTAAATCTCTTGGTATTATGGGAGCATTGCTCTCTGTCTCTCTCTCTCTATAGCTTGTTTATATTAGCTCACATATAACTTTGACCCAGAATTATAGCTGATGCTATCAAGCACTAAAGATACCTCCACCCTCCTCTGCAGGCTTTGAGAGGCTGCTTGTTACTGCTCATGAATAATTAGCCAAACATCTGTATGCATAGAATTTCCTACAGTTCTGTGGCCTCTCCCCTAAAAAATCCTATTGGCATTTTTGTTGTGCATTCTGCCACCACTAGCACTAAATGAAGTCAGTGATCATGGTTTTTCTAAGGGACTGTGAATGGTTCCACTCCTTTGATTACCAAAACTGGTTTTAGAATTAATAGATATGGTGCAAGAAAGCAGCAGCAATGGGCACGCCCCCTTTGCTTAATAGATTGTAGTTTAGTGGGACTTTGGGCCTAAATGGCCAGAACACTTATCGAAGTGTGTGTGCATCTGTTTATACAAATAGAAGAGGTAAACCATGGATTTTTAACTCCCTGGTCTTTGTACGGAAGTTTGTTGAATAGTATTTGTAGCAAATCATTTGTGTGTATTGTCCTGAGACCAAAGGTGATGTTACTTCTTCCTCTAGTGTTTTGGGTAGGGTTCATCAGAAAATAATGATAGTAAATAGGAGTGAACTTAGTCTGAAACTTGTTCCTTTGGAATGAAGGCTAACCTGCTTTTTGCTGAACGGAAAGATTGGGGATAGTTAGGCAGCCTGCTCCGATCCATGACAAATAACTGCTTTATGTCAGTGTTCAGTGACAAAGGGCCACAGATGGGAATGGGTGCCAAAATGAAATTACTTTGCCAATAGAGGGAATGGTTGTTGAATCTTGACTTGATAGAAGAAAAGGAGTTGAATTAAAGAAATAAGGTTTGTAGTCACAGAAAGGGTGTTTAGCATTTCTCATGCAATACAGTGACCTTGTAGCTTTGGTCATATTTGGTTTAGTCATAGGCTTTCCACTGATGCTGGTTACTGCCTGCATTTACTTTGCCAGTAGATCTGTTTATGAACTTGTA